CCTCATGGATCGTCAGTCCATCTTTGGGAACGACCTCATCAGCTTGCCTGAAAGTTCATCTCTCTATGTTCCATCTGAAAATATGGCTCCCTACATGTCCTCTGTGGGTGTCCAAGGGGATATCCCTCTAAACCTGAGCTCTTCAATGGACAACAGCCAGTGATTTAGCTTCCAGGGAACAACATCTCCTCCCACCCATCCAAGCATCCACAGGTTTGAATGTAAAGAAACACAAGTGACTCAGAAACCCACGAGAGAGTTTCTTTTTGTGCCCTTTTTTGGGGAGTAGATGGAAAAGGTCAGTAGCTGTTGCATTCCCCTCCCTGCACCTGGATTTCAGTGTTTTTTAAAACAAAATACTGCTTCTGGTGCTTACTCCTGGGGGAGTGAGACCTTGGCAGGATATTTTTTCTTGAAAATGCTTTTAGAAATTTCAAATCTTCTAATAAAATTTAAGTGAAGAGTAGCTTGAAAGTCCATCTGGGACTTCATAAAATAGTGATCCTGACTAGTGTCTGCAACAGCAAACTGTTGGATTTTATTAGGGCCGCACAGATTAGCTAAGGTGCCTGACCCTTCTTGATGCTGTTTTTTAAATAGGAAAATAGTTCTGCATGCCAGTCCAATGCTCTAAAATAATTTTTTTATCTGTTTTCTGAGTTTGATGGGATGCACCTGTGCCTCTCCCTTATCCTCCTGAGTAGGAAAAGGATGATCTCTGGGGGTGTGCTGAATATCATTTTCTGAGTGACACCTCCAAAAATGTGTCTCTGGCTCTTAGGGGAGTTACAGAACATCACAGGCCACAAAACATCCCGTGCTGAATTGAGAGCGTTTGTTGTTTGGGATTTGGTTTGCCCCCAATTTATTTTCTCTTACGTAAGGGCAGGGCACTCCATACTTAATGAAAAAGGGATAGACTCTTCTGCATACATGATTTTCCATGTGCAGAGAGGATTGAGGGAGCACACTCTGGGTTTTGGTGCTGGCTAAGTATTCCATGTCCAGTCCAATGTTTTCTTTCTTTTTCCTTGGCCTTGACCTGTTCTATTTCCCCTGAAGATGTGCCTGTTGTTTTATTGATGTATAAAATCTGATTAAACAGTTGAATTGATTGAATCCCCTTTTTAGAAGGACTCTCAGCTGCTCAGTGTAGGAGAGAGGCAGAAGAGTTAGTCCACCATGTCCCACAAACCTTTCTTCTGTCCTTTGTGCACCTGAGACCAGCCTCAAAGGTTGAACTAATCTTCCCCTTCCATGTGGTTTCTGACAACTGAGTTTCTCAACAAAGCAGAGCTTTGTTTTTTATGCTGTAGTTCTAATGAGAACGTATTATTTATCTCAATATCCTCTGAGTTGCTTTTCCTTAGGAAAGCTACCCAAATGCAGTAGGACAGACCCAGGAAATTCAATTAACTCAGGCCTCCTAAGGGCTTAGACAGGGAGGTGTAAGCTGTGCCAGTATCGTTTTGAAGAAATGCTCTGCCCATTTTCATTGCCATGACAATTCTTGGTTATAAACTGTATTTCTGATCATCCTGGTCAAGCAGCAACCACCCCAAAAGGTAGTCAATCAGATGAGTGCAGGCTCAAAATCTCAATAAGATGAGCATGTTTGAAATGGACCTTCCTGTCACAGCCCTTTCCTCCATCCATTTTATCACTATGTGAACAGATGTGTTAGTTCAGAAACATTCACTTTTGAGCACATTTTTCCCCATCTGATTCCCATGTGCTGGGAGCTCTGTCACCACCTTGGTGGTGCAATCTGTGCAGGGGCAAGGTTGTGAGAGCTTCTGAATGCATCCCAGCCACTGTTTTTGTGTTCAGGACTAAGGGAAAACTCTGGCAGCCCCCATTGGCCTGGTATTTAGATGACGTGCTTGAGTGTATCCTGGAGAAGATTTTTCTTTTTGACAGATTTGTGCTTAGAAAGTTCACCTAGATCAGCCCATTTGCCACTCTATTTTGCCATTTCCAGCGATGGAAAGTTGAGTTGCACTCTGTTTACTTCTTTTCTCATAGATAATTGAAAACTGTCCGGTGTCTCCCGACACCCGACAGTGTATGTTCAAGATTTACATCCTTCTCTGAACTTACACACACTAGGCTGCTGTCATGTTAACACTGAATGTATTGATCCAACAAGGTATTTAAGCACATGCTTAACTTCAAGCTCCTGAATAGCTTTCCCAAATTTTTATGAAGCCTGTCACATGCTTGAGGTTAGGCGTTCGCTTCAGTGTCTTACTGGATTGTCTAGTTGGGGTTGAGAAATGAACCATCTTAGGAGAGCTGTCTGTGAGCAGGCTCAGGTGCAGCTTGGCCAAGGCACCTGACACCATCTCAGGCTGCAGTGTGTTTGACAGCACAAGCTGCAGCCTGTGCTCATGGTGAGCAGCTTCTTGGGATGGTTCTTGGAGTTTTCTTTAGGCTTTTTGCTCTACTATAAACATGAGATTGGAGCTTGATGGTGAGAGAGGAACCTCCAGAAGAGAATTCAGGAGCCACTCCTGTGCAGAAGGAAACTTGTGTTCCTCAGCTTTTTACATTGTTAATTTTACTTGAAGGTGATGTGCTGAGACTGCGTTTTTTGCACTATGCTGTACATTTGTAAAGTTTTACAGAAAACACTAATTAAACATGTTTCCTTTTTCTCATTTAGTCCTGCTTTGGCATTTCTCTCACTCCTTTCGTCTGCCCCTTACTCCTTTTCTCCTTTGCTAGTCCTCACCAACAAGTGAGAATCACTTCTAAGTGAGGAGATTGACCTGAGGGCATGCAGGGCCTGCTGGTGGGTTGTGGTTGCTGTGTGAACACACAGGAGCTGGAGAGATCTTGCATGTGAAATGTGTTCAGAAAGCTGCTGACTTCTGATTCCTCCAGACTAAGATGCTGGTCAGGGTGGGTACATCTGGTAAAATCAGGGTCAGACTAAAACAATCTATAATTCTTGAAACTTGCATTTTTTCCCCCCATTTATCCTATTTTTTTGTTTTGCTTTGGGTGATAATAGAGCTCAAACATCACACTTGGAATGATTTTTTAAAATCTTTTGTTTATAAACGTAATATGGTCCTTCTTGCTTGTTTTTAGTGTGATAAGAGAGTACGAGGATAGGCACTAAACACAGCATGGAAAAATGCATAGCCCAAAGCCCTCAAAGAAGTCCTTTTCCAGCTTTCTGTTGGAAAAGGTAGCAGCAATTTCCTAGGATGGAGCTCACATGGGTTGCTGGCAGCATTTGCAGTTTTCTGAAGAGCAGATTCCTGTCTGGTGCTTTCAGAGAAGCCTGTTCTCCACAGGCCCTTGGCTCACCCTTCTGCCCTGTCCTGAAGGCCAAGGATTTTACCAGCATGTTTTAAATCATGAAAGGTGGAAAACTGCTGAAATTTAAATCAATTGTGTTCTTCTCTGAGGGCTTTGACAATTCCTTTGTGTTACAGTCAGGTCTGGTTCTCTTGCCACCAGATGGCACCTAGGCCCACTTAATTCCCAACAAGCCCAGAGTAACATTTTGTTTCTTTCCATGTGCATGTCTACAAGGCCTATTCAATTCTAGGTATTACAAATTATTAGCTATTTATAGAAACATGAAGTAAGTCATTCACCTAAATCTGGGTGTGGCTTAATGAAGTGAGGTCACTTTGAGCTTAGCCTGTTCCACTGTTGTGATTGTTCTTTATATCACAAAAAGAAGGTCAGCCCTTGACTATGAGGCCAACTGTGCCACATTGTGCCTGAGCACTGAGCAGTCATTGTTTACTGACTAGCAGAGCTGCTGCTGTGTTAGGAAAATGAGAACCAGCACTGCTCCAGCAGAACTGGCCAAGAGTTGTTTCTCCCAATTCCCTTTCTGCAGTGTGGCAGAGGAAGCACAGCTCTCACACCATCTCCACTTCCTTGAGTTTTATTCTCTAGCTCAGAAGGAGGAGAAAGAAAGGAAAATAAAAGGGAAGAGAAGAAGTGAGAACCTGGTGGAGGCTTTGCTGCTGTTATTTGCCATTCCACTTTGGCACAAGACTACCACTGTGATGTAAGGGAGATGCCAATAGAAGAAGAATCCCATTGACTGGCTTTAGCTGGTTATTTTTTGATTATATTTGAAGTCCAGAGAGACATCTCACAATGAAAAACAGTCACAGCAGCAGATATTAGTGTATGCTTCATCACAGATTGATCTAAAAGGCAAACCCAGATTTTCCATGTATGAATGTTATTTCTGCATCTGTTTTGGCATAATGAGTTAAAATACAAAATAACAAGCTAAAATATATGTGGTTACAAGTAGAATCTTTATTTAGTTCAAATGACAGACATGTTACATTTTGCATTGAAACTACATCTGTGATGAAATGCTAAGCTGTAAACATTTAACTAAGTGATTTCTAGAAGGATGCAAAGGCACAAATAACACAAGAGTGGAATTTAACCCCAAAACTGCAGTGCCCTCACTTTCAAAGAAGTGAATGCTGCCAGCTGCCCTGAGGAGCCTGGAGCCAAGGGCAGTGGGTTTTTATCACAGTGACTTTTAACTAACATCACAATCAGTTTTACCTAACAGTCCCATTGCCAAGCTCCATGGTTTGGGAAGAACTCCCTGCAGTCAGCCAGGTGCTGTGCTCCAGATTTGGTCTGTTTTTTTTCAGGGTGATGAATTCAATCCACCCTCACTGTCCTTGTAACCTTGTGCTTTGTGAGGACATCCTTCCCCCTCAGCCAGGTGCAGAGAGCTCACGAGCAGGGAAGACACAAAACACTCAATATGAGATGCTGCAAAAGCCTTCAAACTTTATTTTTGGCCAGGGTTCTTTTATACACTTTTCCATAATGTGTGCCTGTTTGTCAAATTCTGATTGGTTAACAGACTACAACAATGTTGGCCTGCTTCTCCCAGGAGTACTCCCTTCTGCCTCTATTTTTAGCCACAGCTTGTTTTGCTCATCCTAATGCTGCATCAAGGTGGCCGCGTCCTTGTCTCTGGTTGCTGTTTCCCACCTTTACTGCTCCTGTTTGGGATGGTGGGTGTCTCCCTGCTGACACAGCACCTCCATAGAAGTATGTCCTTGATCTGTTAGCCATTCTCCAACAGCCAGGACCTGTGCTTCTCCATCACTGCCATTCCCTGCTAAAAGCACAAAGGCAAAAGGGAAATGAAACTCACTGGTGGTCTGAGAAAACAAACATAGAGCCCAATGTTTTAAAACCATTTAAATGAAACTTGGCAAGAAATCCCGTGTAGAAAAAAAGAGAAAACAATATTTTAATTCTTAATTTATTAGGATTCCCACATAAAAAAAAGGAAAAGGTGATTGTAACTAACGACCTTCAGCAAGGAGCTGAACAGATCCTTACTTTTGGTGTGTATGTGCCACCCACATTTTTTTCTGTGAGTAATAATGTCACTGTAATCTTACCATCCTCTTCCCAGGGGCTTGGGTCATCTGGTTGGTGGCAGACTGGTGACAACAGTAGATGGTCCTTGGGCTCAGGGACTACCTCTTGTATCAAGGGTTTTGAGGGGACTCCTTGCTTATCTTTGATCTCCAGGTATCTTTCTGAATTAGCAGGCTCTATAAAGAAGCTTTCAAGAAAGGGCCTTAAGTGCTCCTTTTCATGCTCTGTAGGACTCCTACACACATTTGAAAAAATTGCTGTTGGAACTTCTACTGAATCCTCAAACAAGCTCGTATTGTTTTCCTCTAACGCAGAATCGCAGTCATTTGTCACTTCGGAAATTATTTCAATCTTTGGGCGACAGTCCTGCTGTAAAGGTAGAAAATGTAGTTGAGAATGTGTTATTCTTAGATGTAACAGCTAAAGGATGGGTAAGTATCTCTTGGATACATGTAACAGTTGTCAGCTTTGAAGTGCTGTTCTCTTAAAATGTATGGGAGATGTGCTTCACCCATAGCTCTGCTGCTTTGTGGATGAATGGATGGAACTGACCATAAACTAGTAACAGTTCATAAAAAGACCTATTTCAGCAACTCAGCAATGTGTGGGCTCTATTCTATTACCTCACTCCAGAGGGACCTTGCTAATCTGTGTCTGTCTTCAGCTGAAAATGGAGCAGCACTCAGATTGTGACAGCTGCTAACACATGCTCCTCCACTAATCCTCTCTGTTTCCTTCCCTTGCTTCCTTTTAATTGGTGGCTTTGTTGGCCAAGACATTTTGCAACTCTGTTATCCAAAACACCAACTGAATTCCATGCCTGACACTGACTAGGAAAAGTTGGGATTATCTTGAAGAGACATGTAAGAACATATACTGTTCCAACCTCTTGTCTTCAGCAAGATCAGTATAGTTCCACAATCAGCAGGAGAGTCAAAGCTGTGTTGTTTGGTTTTTTCTCCTCTGTTTCTGTTTCTAGGCTTTTGCCTAAAAGATCAGTTTGGGCACAGCGCAACACTAAGGTGGACAAGGACTAGCCTGCACTGGTGCAGAGGAGTTTGTCTCTCTGTGTTTTAAGTTGAAAAGTCAGACTTTATTCAGCAGCAATTTGTTTTGTCTGTTCAGCCCTTTGCACCATATTAGTACTGGTAAAGTATATTTTAAGAGTAATTTCATTACAACACTACATACTACTTAAGAAATTAAACGTATGTAACTGCTGCATTCTTGATCTTAGGTTTTCGTTCTCCTCTTTTTGCTACACAGTAATATAAAAAATCAAATGTAAAGAAAAGATTTACAAGGGGAGATGATCTGCTGCAACATCCATTTTAGTTTAATAAATGCATGACTGATTGCATCTCCCAAACCAGCATTTCACAGCTTAGACTACCCTCCTTTTGAAACATATCTGTAAATGTGTTCAGAGAAGCTTCATTACTGCAATGAACAAAAATGTTACCTTTTGAACAAAGATTTCCTTGTCTGGGGGAAATCCATTTACATCTACATCTTCTAAATCAGGCAGTTCCTGAAAACAATCACAGGTCATTAATCAGTGGGAAAAGCTACTGTACCCATGAAATATGACATCTTTGGCTCATTGGAAATTTTTACAGCAATGCTTATCAGGGTGTGAGGCCACAGCCAGCAGAACTGCACTGCCATCCTCTCACAGGTGACAGTTTTCTTTGTTAAGCACATGTGGGAGTAGGAAAACCCACCTCTCTCCAGAAACAGCAAACAGGAAGGTAATAGCCCTAATGTCAGACTGTGCTGTTTTTGTGTCATTATGAAGTAAAAAAGGATAAAGAGCAAGACATCAGCAGGATTTTAAAAGCCCACATGATTTATATCTATTAGCTGTTTCTTATCTATTCAATGGACTTAATCCCAACTGCAACCCATCATTATGGGTAAGAGACAAATCCAGACCTGAGTGTACCTGGAATTGCTTATCAGTAAACTCTGTTAGCCTAAATACATGTAATAAACCAATGTTTTACTGTGAATGCCTCATAACTAAGCCTATAGAGCTGCAAGCTTGCCAAGAACAGTTTTTCCTCAGACAGGTTCAATAATTTCAGCTTTCCACTAGAAAATATTATCTCAGACAACTATCATTTACTGACAGGAAAGCAAAAATAGAAGGTGGGAATGCAAAATCACAGGTAGAAACGTATATTTTTGCCAATTTTTTAGTGAAGGTCAATATTGGCATAAGCATCTCCTTTTGGTTTTAGTTGTTTTCAGCACTTAATGATTTTGTAGCAAACTGCTTGGCTTGGTAGCATCAGGTACTGTCTTGTGTGGTGAAGGTTATTACAGAATTAAAATCAGGAAAGGAAATTTCTGCTTCCTGATATTGTTGTAGCTAGTGCAGCATGCCCTAAAGTCACATGGTTCTATAAAAACAGCATTAAATACATACAAATCAAGACCTGAGACCAATGGTAGTGGGTGAATTTGATGTCAATAGGGAGAGGAAATAGCTGTTAGTCTTGTTTCAATCAGCAGGGTGCATTTGCAGATCAAACTAAAACCACTTACTAAAAGTTATCCTGGTTTAGGTATGTGCAATGTGGTTCAAACACTGCCAAGGCATGTGCAGCAGCATGAGCTTGTTTCTGCTTGACAAAGGGATGTCACAACCACTGCCTTACATATCCTCCTCCTCTCTTCTCCCTTATATTACTGCTGAGCCCTCTACTGACTCAGGATAGGACTAAAGGCAATGGTGCTGGTCCAGAGCTTCTCACCCCAGGCATCTTCCCAGCCATTCCCTGCTATGTCAGCACTGAGACTCTTTGGAAAATCAGCAATAGTGTAAGTACTGGAGGTTCTTGGGAGAAGCTCTTTCTATTACTAAACGTCGCTGGAGAACAAAGTAGCACAGAACACTGAAATGTGTATTAGTATGTGATTTGGGTTTGGTTTTTCTTCTGTAGAATTAAAGCAGTCACAGTTTTTTATGTGTCAAAAGAAACCCCATGCATGTGTGCTGAGGAGTTCCTTTTACACTGCATTCAAGTGTGTGCACAGGAGTTTGCTATGGATCATGAAGGGAAAACCAAATACTGAATCAGTGAGATCTTCACATTCTGGGCACCTGCTCTATCAGTATGTATCTCAAGCCTTAATGTCAGGCTTATTTTAAAGCCTTATTTTTATTTAAAGCCTTATTTTATTTAAAAAGCAAGATCTGTTTTTAAAAGTAATGTTGCATGTACTTTGAGTTGCTGCCAGCTCTCTCCATTGTCTTTTTAAAACCTGTTATTAAAAACAGCCAAACAGGAGGAGGCTGCAGCAAACCTCAATTTAAGCAGTGGGTTGAGCCCTTTGATAACAGCATGGAATTTTTCTGGGAAACTAAGAGCATAGCAAGGATACAAGTGACTTTTCTGCCAGCAGTCAACAATGGCAGTATAAGGTATCAAAGAGTATATTAAGTGCCCTGGGAAATCATAACCTCTGAAGTTTGTTATTGCTGGTTATGTCATAGTCTGACACTGTCAGGTTAGCAGCAGTGTCCTAATTAGGGCAAGTTGAACAGTTCTCCTTTGAAGTGAGGTTGTATTTTTCAGTTGTATCCATGTCCTCCTCGTGGTTAAACGTGGTGGTGTCCACGTCCCAGTTAAATGTGGCTAAACAGGTTTAAATGCTGCATCATCAGAGAGCAAACTTAGATAACAGAAGACCATATGACAAATGTCAATCACTTATTATATACACATATATATGCACATTTTGCTTTTCTTGGAAATAGACATCACAGTCCTAACTTGAGGATTAATTTGTAATATCTAATGCTGTCAGGTAACCCTTACGATGATGGAGTTGCTATTTCTTCCTTATGCTTTTTCTGCAACAGTTGACATTTTCAACTGCATATTTCATTTGAGTTTTGCTTAAAAGGACACAGGTATCCATCAGATTTTTTGTGCTGTGATTTTTCAAATGAGAGCCCTCATTAGCTTCTCCAGAGAAACCACAGAGGTAGAGGGTCAAATTCAGGTGATTTATAGGACAAAAAATTTAGGACAAAATAAACTTTGGAAGCAGTGGTGAATTCTTTATATCTGCTATAGTGGAGGGAAAGAATCCCCCTGCAACTTTACTTTTGGGTTTTTTTTCTTTCTTTCCTTTTACTTTTCTGGTAATAGACCTTTCTTTAAAACCTGGTCACACAGCTTTATTGGCCAGGATGTTACAAGAATTAACTTGCAGAAGACAACACCCACATGTGAACTCAAAATCTGAATCCAGTACATACATCAAGATAAAGTTTCTCCAGTGTCTCCAGTCTTAACTGTTCAATTCCAGCATATTCATCCTGTTCAGGAAGCATGGCCTTGTCAGTAGCTGCCTCCTCTCTTGGCAGAGCTGAAGAGTAAACAATAGTCAGTTGCGGGGAACTAACTGAATTCTAACTAAATTCTAACTAAATTCTATATTGCAACAGCAAGCACTGCAAAACCAAACTGCTGGGGACCTGACTGCCATTGCAGACTTCACAGCTGAATCCAGCACTTTGTCCTTCCAATCATATTCTTGGTCTTTCTTGGTTTGTATGAATTAATATCTGCATTTTGCAATAAGGTATTACCAAATCTATGAAAGCATTATTCCACGCATGAAGGCACAAAACCACCTCCACAGTGATCACCAGCCTCTGCTGGCAGACAGACCGTGCAGTTTATGTAGGAGCAAGGGAAGTTTGTAAGCTCTCCTGTCCTGTCACTAAACCTGGCATGTTTGAGGAGTGGAGTTCCACCTTTATGTAGCAGAATTTGCAGGTTAAGCCCACAAATTTTTATTTATTGTATTTAAAGAATATTTTATCCAGTATTTATTTTCATCTAGTCACTGTGGAAATCTAATGGGATGTTCTTATCTATGAATGAGTTGGTTTGAGCCATGGCAGAGGTGGTGATACCCTGAGACAGAGTTTGGCTCATCATCTCTGCATCCTCAGTTTGGTTTGGTTCTTAACTGTGTACATTACCATCTGTCTTCTCGTTGACATTTGGG